CCTAAAAAATGTCCCCACAAGGTCAACATTTACTGGTATTACTATCCTTGTGGGGACATTTGGTCCCCATATCATGATAAATACCAGGCACACACACACACACGCACGTTTCTGTGAATTGTGGGGACTTTCCATAGACTTCTATTACTTTTATACTGACCAAACGATATTTTCTATCCCCTAACCCAACCTTAAACCTACATTGTAAAAAATAAATCCGTAAAATAACATAAAAAGTACTGGCAGCTCATTACACACACCATTATTCATTAGTTTTACTGACATTTCTGTTAACTCTAAAACACAGTGGTGTAAAATTCAAAATAGTGGTAAAAAAAACACACAGGCCGAACCCCACAATGTCAAAATTTTCAGGTTTAATTATCCGTGTGGACATTTGGTCCCCACAATGTATTATAAACACACACACATGCATATGCATGCAATGATTGTTTAAATGAGAGTCATTCGAACGGTCAACACATGTGGAACGACGGCTAATCGAACGGTAATGACGCCTTTGATCAGCGCCGCCGTCTCAAACTGGACATCAATATTCCTGAGTGCAAACGGCCCACTATTATGTAATGCGTGCAGGAGACATAAATTGCTGGAAGATGAAAGCCAAACCAAACGGCAGATATCTGTGATTTTGTACGTGCAAGTGAAGGACTGAAACATGCTTTTGTGACTAAGATGTCAGTAGGCCTACATCAATATAAAGTCTGTTCAAATGTAAAAAATACTGTTCAACAATGAGAGAAGTTAATACTCGCATTCATCAAAGACGCATTAAATTGGTCAGAAGTGTCATTTATGTTACAAAATTATTCTACTTCAAATAAATGCTGTTCTTTTTAACTTTCCACTCATCAAAGAATCCTGAAATATAAAATGTATCACGGTGTCCACACAAATATTCAGCAGAATATGAAGAAAAGAAAAAAAGAAAGATTGCACTATTGTATTGTTGAAAAATACTGTTCAACAATGAGAGAAGTTAATACTCGCATTCATCAAAGACGCATTAAATTGGTCAGAAGTGTCATTTATGTTACAAAATTATTCTACTTCAAATAAATGCTGTTCTTTTTAGTTCTTTTTCTTTTTCAAAGTATCACGGTGTCCACAAAACTATTCAGCAGAATATGAAGAAAAGAAAAAAAGAAAGATTGCACTATTGTATTGTTTTTCAGATGCATTGACTTTCTTTTTCTTTCTTTCTTTCTTTCTTTCTTACACCTTTAACCATTAAATCTCTTTTTTGTTATTGTTGCTGTTGTTCTAAATTATTTAAATTTAAGTATTTACAAAATTGTATTTTATTTACTTGAACTTTTAATGGTCACATTACTATGCAAGCCCGTTTCCGCCACTGAATAAAAAAATAAAAGAGGTAATTCTGACTTTTTAATCTCACAATTCTGACTTTTTTCTCAGAACTGCGTGGTATAAACTCGTCAGAATTGTGAGATAAAAAGTCGCAATTACCTTTTTTTTATTTTTTATTGAGTGGCGGAAACGGGCTTCCATACATTACTGTCCCAACTACTATTTTTTGTGTTAACTTTATTTATTTATTTATCATTTATACAAATCTATATGAAAACTAAAGAGATCAAGCTAATATAATTCGCTGTGCTTCCTTCACACCTTCTAAATATTACATAAGTGTGAAATCTTGTCTAATCGAACCGTCTTAAACTGTAGGCTACATCGATACATAAGTGCAAACGGCGACTATTACATTTAATGCATGCAGGAAAAATACATTGGTGGAAGATATCTGTGATTTTGTACATGCAATTGAAAGACAGAAACACACGTTTTCTTTTACGGCTAAGCAGTAATTAGCGTCTCCATGGAGACCGAAAATCTCGTCAAGAACCGCAAACGACCTCCAGCCTCCCCTCATCTGCCAATTAACTCTGGAGATATTTAACAACCTGAAGCGACACTCCAAATCTTAAAGAGGCTCTCTGACACACACACACACACACATACACACACATGCTTCAGTGTGGGTTTATAGTCTAATAAACCACAGTTATGGGTGTGAATTACCACAAAAAACTCGTACTTCCTCTCAAATTAGTTAACAGAAGTATGTAACTTATGGCTAACATCATACTGTGGACTATATACTGCATACCTTCGACAAATAATATGCGAAACAGCATGCAATGATAAATATTACAGTATTATACAACAATAAACAGCATTGTACTAGGTTATATTGTAAATTTACAGTATGCATGCTACTAATATGTTGCATAATGCATTTGTTGTCATATGTTGCATGCTTATTTCAGTGTTTAGTTTCGAGATATGAATATAATTTTAGTTTTTAGTTTTATTTTAGATGTATTCTTTCATTTTTTGTTTTTTATTTAAATTTTAGTTAGTTATTTTAGTATATTAAGTTAAACTAAATAAAAAAATGAGACATTTTGTATTGATATTTATCATTTATACAAATCTATATGAAAACTAAAGAGATCAAGCTAATATAATTCGCTGTGCTTCCTTCACACCTTCTAAATATTACATAAGTGTGAAATCTTGTCTAATCGAACCGTCTTAAACTGTAGGCTACATCGAAACATAAGTGCAAACGGCGACTATTACATTTAATGCATGCAGGAAAAATACATTGGTGGAAGATATCTGGGATTTTGTACATGCAAATGAAAGACAGAAACACACGTTTTCTTTTACGGCTAAGCAGTAATTAGCGTCTCCATGGAGACCGAAAATCTCGTCAAGAACCGCAAACGACCTCCAGCCTCCCCTCATCTGCCAATTAACTCTGGAGATATTTAACAACCTGAAGCGACACTCCAAATCTTAAAGAGGCTCTCTGACATACACACACACATACACACACATGCTTCAGTGTGGGTTTATAGTCTAATAAACCACAGTTATGGGTGTGAATTACCACAAAAAACTCGTACTTCCTCTCAAATTAGTTAACAGAAGTATGTAACTTATGGCTAACATCATACTGTGGACTATATACTGCATACCTTCGACAAATAATATGCGAAACAGCATGCAATGATAAATATTACAGTATTATACAACAATAAACAGCATTGTACTAGGTTATATTGTAAATTTACAGTATGCATGCTACTAATATGTTGCATAATGCATTTGTTGTCATATGTTGCATGCTTATTTCAGTGTTTAGTTTCGAGATATGAATATAATTTTAGTTTTTAGTTTTATTTTAGATGTATTCTTTCATTTTTTGTTTTTTATTTAAATTTTAGTTAGTTATTTTAGTATATTAAGTTAAACTAAATAAAAAAATGAGACATTTTGTATTGATATATTATAGTTATCCTTTTAAGTTAGATTTTATTTTTTATATTTTCTGTTTTCACAAGTTTTAGTAATTTTGTTGTGTGTTTTTATTTTATTAGTTTTTTATGTCTATGTAGTTATTCATTTTTATTTACTAGTTCTTAGTTCTATCTTTAATTAAATTATTACTTAAAATTATTATAAATTTTTATTACTTCAAGTTAAACTAAACAGAAATGAGAATCTGAAATAAAAGTTTTAAGTTTTTTATATATATTTTTTGTAACAGTAATTTTAATTTGAGTTAACAGTAATAACCTTGGCTGAAGCAAAATAAGATTAATACATTTTTATATTTTATTTTATTTCAGTTAAAGTTCATTTTATTTCAAGTAATGAATATGTTTATGGTTACAGCTTTAGTAAACCACAATAACACCGTCATTTACTTTAAGATAAGAGCATCTGTCAAATGCATCAAATGTTATTTTGCATTTTTAATCTAATTTTGAGCCAAAAGGCCTTAATTTTTTTCTGTTTGACAAATTTGGAAAGAAGACAGCCGATAACACTGGTCCATATGTCACTGCAAATGCAAGTAGCAGTGCATTGTGGGATGCAGTGTATTTTATGCTGCACATGTATACAGTATGTATGTATACAGAAAAGCCACATACTGCACACAGTTGAGAAACAGTAAGCGAATTATGCTAGCGTGCGACTGTTTGCTGATGTGCATGTGTGCTGATCCATGATCCCTGTGTGGGGTGAAGATGAAACACCTTGAATAAGCCATGAGCGCTGTTTCTCTGTCCGACCCAGAACGACGTGTCTTCTGGGATCGCCATCAGAGGAACAGCAACCACTCGCTCGTAGATCCTGAAGAGAAATTGTCCCAATACGTCAAAAAATATCAGTGAAATTTCATGATTCTTAGCAATTTCAGCACCACAGCAATATGGTATTTGAATACATTGTTTGGGAAAGCAATGCTTTTAGTAATATTAACACATTTTACTGAGTAAGTGGCATGTAGTAAAAATTATTGCTCAGTACTTTTGTCTTGTTTTTCAGTCAAATAGCATTCTTAAATCAAGATTCATTTATTTGAGAAGCAAATTTATTACTTCAAGTTAAACTAAACAGAAATGAGAATCTGAAATAAAAGTTTTTTTCAGTTTTTTGTTTTTTTTTGTAACAGTAATTTTAATTTGAGTTAACAGTAATAACCTTGGCTGAAGCAAATAAGATTAATACAATTTTATATTTTATTTCAGTTAAAGTTCATTTTATTTCAAGTAATGAATATGTTTATGGTTATAGCTTTAGTAAACCACAATAACACCGTCATTTACTTTAAGATAAGAGCATCTGTCAAATGCATCAAATGTTATTTTGCATTTTTAATCTAATTTTGAGCCAAAAGGCCTTAATATTTTTCTGTTTGACAAATTTGGAAAGATGACAGCCGATAACACTGGTCCATATGTCACTGCAAATGCAAGTAGCAGTGCATTGTGGGATGCAGTGTATTTTATGCTGCACATGTATACAGTATGTATGTATACAGAAAAGCCACATACTGCACACAGTTGAGAAACAGTAAGCGAATTATGCTAGCGTGCGACTGTTTGCTGATGTGCATGTGTGCTGATCCATGATCCCTGTGTGGGGTGAAGATGAAACACCTTGAATAAGCCATGAGCGCTGTTTCTCTGTCCGACCCAGAACGACGTGTCTTCTGGGATCGCCATCAGAGGAACAGCAACCACTCGCTCGTAGATCCTGAAGAGAAATTGTCCCAATACGTCAAAAAATATCAGTGAAATTTCATGATTCTTAGCAATTTCAGCACCACAGCAATATGGTATTTGAATACATTGTTTGGGAAAGCAATGCTTTTAGTAATATTAACACATTTTACTGAGTAAGTGGCATGTAGTAAAAATTATTGCTCAGTACTTTTGTCTTGTTTTTCAGTCAAATAGCATTCTTAAATCAAGATTCATTTATTTGAGAAGCAAATGTAATAAGAATGAAAGCTTGTTTCCACCTTGGGATAAAAATAAAGTCAGAATTGTGAAATATAAAGTAAAAATGGCAAGATGTAAGGAATGGCAAAATATAAAGTAAAGCTTGTGAGATGTAAAGTAAGAATTATGACATATAAAGTCAGAATTGCAAGATATAAAGTAAAAATGGCCAGATGTAAAGTAAGAATTGTGAAATATACAGTAAAAATGGTGAGATATAAAGTGTGAAATTTAAAGTAAAATTTGTGAGATGTAAAATAAGAATTGCAAAATATAAAGTAAAGGTTTTAAGATATAAAGCATTGTAAAACATAAAGTAAAAATTGTGAGATGTAAAGTAAGAATTGTGAAATATAAAGTAAAAATTGTGAGATATAAAGCGTGAAATTTAAAGAAAAAAATTGTGAGATATATAGCATTGTGAAATATAAAGTAAAAATTGTGATGTAAAATAATTGTGAGATGTAAAATAAGAATGGCAAAAAATAAAGTAAAAGTTTTGAGATATAAAGCGTTGTGAAATATAAAGTAAAAATTGTGAACCGTAATCAGAATTGTGAAATATAAAGTAAAAAAAAAATTCAGAATTTTTTTTCAGTTTGAATTAATTTTTCTGACCCCCAGTGACCAATGTTTTTTTCTTGTTTAAAGCAAAAACTCACTTCATTTTGATACATTTAAAAAAATAAGACTTAATATTTTAAGTAATTTTGCACCTCAAGTAAATGCATCTTGATTTAGGAATTTTACGTATTTGTATTGGAGAAACGACAGAAATACTGAGTAAAATGTGTCATTTCGCAGTGCTAAAAGTATTTTTATCTGGTTTCTCAGTTAAAGTATCTAAAAATCCCTAAAACGAGATACATTTTGACATGTTTTCATGACTATTTTGTTTTACTGCACTGGTAAATTTGTTTATATTAGATACATCTTCTGAAAGTCTTACTATATTATGTAGGGTTGCTTCTCAGGGATGTTTATATTGTTTCAAGGATATTTTTACTGGAAAAGGTCAAAAAGACTAAGAAGTGGTTTTGTAGTGTATTTCATTATATTCTCACGTAATTTCACATACTTATTGCAGTCGACATAGAGCACCACATGTGAAGCACTGATGGAGACGGAGACTTTGTGCCACTGGTCGTCGGCGAGCATGTAGGGGAAGATCTCCGTGTATGTCTGCTGGCCTTTGGTCTGGAAATGAAGACGCACTTCGCTCTTCTGTCCGCTGCTCTCCAGCTCCAGCAGCCTGTAGAAATACAGTCAATGTAATAATCATGAAGAAGGTATCACTATTTATTCTAAGTTTGTGCTCTAGAATGAATGATTCCTCAAGTCATGGTTTATATTGTGTTGCGGGTCAATCTGAATATTTGAGTTGTTGGAAATACTGGAAATACTAGGATGTTTTTCTTGAAATTGTGAGATTTTTTTTCGTTTAGGGTCATGAACATGCCTGCAAAGTTTCGACACTCTGAGGTGTTTTTACTGATTTTACTGTGTTTTTGAACAAATAAATGTAGCCTCGGTGGGATTGGAGAGACTTCTGTGTATGACATTTCTTTGATTGTGATGTTAGCGGGTCAGTCTGACCTACAAATTTCATGATTAGCTGGACAAAACCAAATTTTATATGTACTGTATATACTGTATAATGCAATATTTATTTCATTTAATATATATATATATATATAATTTCAAACCATTTTAAATTTGAATGTAAAAAAAGATGTTAAAAAAGATGAAAATTTTGCAGCATTCGCAAATAAAGCGGGCCGAATCCATGCCCCTGGGGCACATCACCGGCATGAGGCTTCACGCTCATCTCTAACCATCTGAAATGCATCTATCTAACTTTCCAAATGTCCTCCATAACAATATCCCAGGAGATCCTCATCACATGCTGACCAGCATGGATTCTGTCCAGCAAGTCCTCGTAGCGAGACTGTGCTTTTGTTTTGGCACAGAGGGAGTCTGCCAGCCCCCCTTTTTTATTAATATCAAACAAAACCATAGTATTTTGTTCAGTATATGACCAAAAGCTCTTATTTTATTGACCTGCTGGGTTTTTTGAAACACAAAAACTGCTCTGCATTTAAATGCACTTTGCTCTGCATTTTCTGCCACTGATTTGAATAGATCCGTATGAATTCATTGTTTCTATTCAAAACTGTACTATATGCATTCACAATTAATTTTCATGCTAACAGGCATGTTTTATGGAGTTTTGCCATGTAGACATGAATGTATAATGAATTTTGGTAATATTAGAAATTTTTTCAAATTAAAATATTTAATGCAATATTTATTTCATTTTATATATACATGTGAGAATGTGAGAAGTATTATTGTTAAAGTGTTTTTTGCTTTGTTTTTTTATAGTAATTTTTGGTTAATTGTATTAAATCCAATTAAAAAATAAATGTAAAAATAAATAAAAATCTAAAATTTTTATTAAAAAGTATGTATTTACAATACTGTTTATAATATTTACAATTTGTGAAAAACAAATGTTCAAACATATTTCTTAAATACGTTTTTATAAATCATTTGTTGTCATGTTTACTTTTTGCAACATATCAGAAGTGTTAATGTTGACGGTGTTTGTCTGATTTTCTGTTTTCATGGTGTGATTTGTGCTGAATTGTACTGAATCTAGTTCAGGTCAGACCTGGAACAAAATGATTGTAACCAGAACTGCTTAAGAAGGGCTGTGCTGTTACTGTCCCACTCAGAATAACGTCAACCACTTAGCAACACCCCGCTCCATGTCATTGTGCCGGTGAGTTTTGCACAAGCACCACTCAAAATATACTATACTTAATAATTTCTTCCCACTAAACATGTCATTGACAGCAGAGGACACAGTGGGATCTCTGACACACGGCCAGACCTGCAAACAAAAGAAGCCGTGTTGCATATTTTGCAGCATTCGCAAATAAAGCGGGCCGAATCCATGGCCCTGGGGCACATCACCGGCATGAGGGCTTCACGCTCGTCTCTAACCATCTGAAATGCATCTATCTAACTTTCCAAATGTCCTCCATAACAATATCCCAGGAGATCCTCATCACATGCTGACCAGCATGGATTCTGTCCAGCAAGTCCTCGTAGTGAGACTGTACTTTTGTTTTGGCACAGAGGGAGTCTGCCAGCCCCCCTTTTTTATTAATATCAAACAAAACCATAGTGTTTTGTTCAGTATATGACCAAAAGCTCTTATTTTATTGGCCTGCTGGTTTTTTAAAATATTTAAATACACTTTGCTCTGCATTTTTTGACACTGATTTGAATAGATCCGTATGAATTCATTGTTTCTATTCAAAACTGTACTATATGCTTTCACAATTAATATTCATGCTAACAGGCATGTTTTATAGAGTTTTGCCATGTAGACATGAATGTATAATGAATTTTGGTAATATTAGATTTTTTTTTTTATTAAAACACAATTTACTGAAGTGTTCGTCCACCTAGATCCACATAGGTATATTATATTATATTATTTATTATTATATATTATTCTACTTTTATTATTTAAAATAATTACAAAATGTGTATATAATATACATGAACATACTAAAAATCAGAAAGGCATCATTAAAATGTTTTAATGTTTTTGAAAAAAGTCTCTTCTGCCCACCAGACTTTTTTTTTTTTTTTAAATACAGTAAAAATATTGTGAAATAATTATTGAAGAAGTGAGAAGTTTTCTGTTTGAATATATTTTCAAATGTAATTTATTCCATAATATATAAAAAAGTTTTTGCTGCTTAATATTTTTGTGGAAACTCTGATACACTACGATTCAAATTTTTGGCAAAAGAAAGAAATGAACACTTTCATCAAGGACACATTAAATTGTTCAAAATTGACGGTAAAGACATTTATAATGTTACAAAAGATTGATTACAAAAGATTATAATGATACACTGAAAACTGGAGTAATGATGCTGAAAATTCAGCTTTGATCACAGGAATAAATTACATTTTAACATCTATTCACATAGAAAACAGCTATTTTACATTATAATAATATTTCATAATTTTTACTGCATTTTTGATCAAATAAATGCAGCCTTGGTGAACAGAAGATATATATTGCAGTCAGACTGACAAGTCTTTATGACAGCTTCATTGCCACATATTTGTTTTTGCATGCAATAAATCCACGTATATTTACTGTCTTATATTGTGTATTATATTGCAGTACTCAGTCTTTCTCATCACAGACTACAAACTCAGGAAACACCGGCAGATACAGATGAGCTAAAAGCTTCCTTCACATTGTAATTCCTCTGCTCTGCTCGTCTCTACTGAGATTTACTTGAAGGAGGCGTTAATGGGGAAAGCTGCCAAAAAGTCATCAGCCCGCCTGCCTGCGCAGACTACCAAGTTTTATTTCCTCCTCCTCACAAAAAATCGCCATGCTCGAGAGCATTATTCGAGAGAAGCCAATTACAGATACGCAGGTTTTGATTTATCTACAAACAGGGACCTAATGAGTTCTTTTCCTCTCGCCTTGCACTTCTAGTCAGTGCTGTTCCAGCTGCAAAGAAAGGGAATATCAATACCAGCCCAATGTCAGAGCCACCTGCTTTATCGACTCGGCGTACAATGTAATTAACATCTTTCACAAGGCCCCTATTATGCGCTGGCTTCAATAAACACAGTTCAACGAGCACAATTACAGTAAGGACACGGCTGCTATAGTTCTGCCGGCGCGGCGTGATGTTGCTGTCTTCACCGAAGCGAACGTCGTCATTAAAAATGCTATTCTTTCAAATAGGACAGTCTTAAACAAACAAAACGCTTGACCTGCTGACCCTCAAATCTGAATCTTGAGTCCAAATTGATGACAAGAGCCATTTTCTGTCAAATTTTGTGTTTCTGCGAAACGATGTTAAATGGTAGAAAACATAGAGTTCAATTTTCTTTTCACAGTCAGGAAAAATAACGTGCTTTCCTAAAATATAACTAGTTCTAGTGAATAATTTCCTTCTGATGAAAAATGTCATTGATTCATTTGAGTCCCAGTGTGGCATTTTACATAATTTTGATTGAAAATGCCTTACAGACAGCCATATTGTTTTTATTATTTAGTGTAAGTTTCCATCCATCATCTATCCATCTGTTTGTTCACCCATCCTTCTATCTATCTACCTGTTTGTCCCTCTGCCTCTCCATCCATACATTCATCCATCCATCTGTCTGTCTGTCTATCTATCCATCCATCCATCCATCCATCCATTTGTCTGTCCATCCATCCATCCATCCATCCATCCAAATTGTTTTGGAACTTAGTGTAAATTTCCATCCATCCACCCATCCGTTTGTCCACCTATCTGTCTTTCTTTCTTTCCTTCCTTCCTTCCTTCTTTCTGTTTGTTCATCCATCCATACATCCATTTGTTCGTCCCTCCGTCTCTCCATCCAACCATCCATCCATCCGTCCATCCGTCAGTTCAGCCATCCATCTGTTCATCCACCTGTTTGTCTTTCCTTCCTTCATTCCTTCATTCCTTCTGTTTGTTTGTTTGTTCATCCATCCATCTATCCATCCATGCATCCATCTGTTCCTTCCTCTAGCTTTCCATCCATCCATCTATCTATCATCCATCCATTCATCTGTTTGTCCATTCGTCCATCTGTCCATCCATCCATCATTAATCCATTCATTAATCTTTTTGTTCATCCATCCATCCATCCATCCAAACATCCATCCATCCATCCAAACATCCATCATCATCCTGTCTTTCCTTCCGTCCTTCCTTCCTTCCTTCTTTTTTTTGTTCATCCATCCATTTGTTTGTCCCTCTGTCTCTCCATCCATCCATCTGTTCATCCACCTGTCTGTCTTTCCTTCCTTCATTCCTCATTCCTTCTGTTTGTTCATCCATCCATCTATCCATCCATGCATCCATCTGTTCCTTCCTCTATCTTTCATCCATCCATCCATCTGTATGTCTATCCACCATCCATCCATCTATAACATCCATCCATCCATCCAAACATCCATCCATCATCATCCTGTCTTTCCTTCCGTCCTTCCTTCCTTCCTTCTTTTTTTTGTTCATCCATCCATTTGTTTGTCCCTCTGTCTCTCCATCCATCCATCTGTTCATCCACCTGTCTGTCTTTCCTTCCTTCATTCCTCATTCCTTCTGTTTGTTCATCCATCCATCTATCCATCCATGCATCCATCTGTTCCTTCCTCTATCTTTCATCCATCCATCCATCTGTATGTCTATCCACCATCCATCCATCTATTAGTTCACCCATCCATCCATTCATCTATCTATCCATTCTATCTATCGTCCATCCATTCATTTGTTTGTCCATTCGTCCATCTGTCCATCCAGCCATCATTAATCCATTCATTCATCTGTTTGTTCATCCATCCATGCATCCATCTGTTCCTTCCTCTATCTTTCATCCATCCATCCATCTGTATGTCTATCCACCATCCATCCATCTATTAGTTCACCCATCCATCCATTCATCTATCTATCCATTCTATCTATCGTCCATCCATTCATTTGTTTGTCCATTCGTCCATCTGTCCATCCATCTGTCCATCCATCCATCATTAATCCATTAATTTATCTGTTTGTTCATCCATCCATGCATCCATCTGTTCCTTCCTCTATCTTTCCATCCATCCATCTGTTTGTCCATCCACCTCTCCATCCATCATCCATCCATCTATTAGTTCACCCATCCATCCATCTATCTATCATCCATCCATTCATCTGTTTGTCCATTCGTCCATCTGTCCGTCCATCTGTCCATCCATTCATCATTAATCCATTCATTCATCTGTTTGTTCATCCATCCATCCATTTGTTCACCCCTCCATCTCTCCATCCATCTTTCCATCCATCCTTCTTTCCTTCCTTCAAATTTTGTTTTTAAACATCACCATTTTAAACACCACCAAAGATTTTCTTAAAAATCCCAGTCATATTTTGAATTTCAATTCATTTTAATTCTACTTCCTTAGATTCAAATTTAAACTGCAATTTTGCATCCTGTTCACCACCTCTATCCAAATTCCATTCAAATTCCAGAAGCCCCGCCCTCCACAAACATGTCATAAAATGATTGACAGGCTGAGAGTGTTTCTGGCTTTTATTTGCTGTTTACAGACTCTAGTGCCGTCACAGAGACAGATGTGATTTCTCTATTTCACGGATATTATTTTATGTGTGCTCTTCCAAAAAAAGCAAGCTATTTTTAGCCAGTTACTCGCCATCACTGACAGTAATGCACTGACAACGGGAAAACGATCCATGTCCAATACAGCCTAAATTCCCCGTGTAGCAGTTTTTCTAACGGAAAGCAACTTTATATTAAGTTCATGCAAACTTATTTGCACGATGAAAGAATTGTTGGTGTTGAAACAGTCTTCCTGGAGAGAGAGTGTTTTATTTCTGCTGAGTGCTGCTCTTAGACTCGACTCAGAGAGGGAACACTTCTAATCAGTCTTCAGGGAGCCGCGGATTTGGACACGGCGCAGGGAAACAGTTAATGATGAGCTGAACAGGGACGGGAAAACAACGCGCTCGGGGAGGCAGAATCCACCGCGGCTCGCCGGTCAAGCACTAAAAATGACGCTGGAAGAGCGTCTCGAGGGAAAACTTCCTCTTCTTAATTCCCTCACTTTGTCTCCTTCTCTCCATCATACTGCAATCTATTCAGAAAGCGCGAGCATTAACCGTGTGAACTTTACTTTGACTAAACAAATGCTTCATCATGTAGAGCACTGATTCTCAATTGTGCATCACGAGCCAGAAACGACTCTGATTGAGTAGACATTCGTCAGTATTATACATGCTAAATGTATCCAAAGCAACTTGCAAATGAGAATAATAGAAGCAGAAGTGATTAATCCAACAGAGAAAACAATACAAGTGTCAGAGCAGAACAACGCTAGAGAAGAAGCAAACAGATTCGTTACTTAGTTTAGTCAAGTGCAACAGGAAGCAAGGCTGGGCAAAATTCATAATCAAAGATTGAATTTGAATAGATTTGAACACAGAAAGTTAAAAGTTAGAATTAGAATTAATATTTAATGTATTTATATTTTTATTTAATAACTTAATTGCATATTTAATTGCATATTTAATAAATTAACTAAATATAATTTATTATATAATATTTTAATTTTACATATTTAAATATTAATAAATAATAATATTTTTTTTAATTATTATTTAATATTATTATTCATATTATTCATATTAATGAATATTATGTTTTATATTTTGTATGCATTTCATTTTATAGTACATCGGTGACCGAACACACTTTACTGAACCGTATAATTAGACGTTGTATGTAGATAAACTTTACTTGTTGCCCAGAGCTGTGTGTGTGTGTGTGAGCATGTACTGTATGTGTGTATGTTTTTTTTTAATCTTGTGGGTATAACAACTATAATTAGGTGTTAGCCAAGTCAAGCATACTTTTGCTTATAATTAGTGTTAGGGATATGAACAAACATTAAAGTTAAGCATGTAATTTGTCCTGTTTGTGCTGTAGAGTGGTGGGATCTGGATTTGTGTGTGTGTGTGTGTATGTGTGTGTGTGTGTGTGTGTGTGTGTGTGTGTGTGTGTGTGTGTGTGTGTGTGTGTGTGTGCGTGTG